TAACATTGAAGTCTATGGGTAGAGACTTTAACATTGAAGTCTATGGGTAGACACTTTAACATTGAAGTCTATGGGAGACTTTAACATTGAAGTCTATGGGTAGACATTTTAACATTGAAGTCTATGGGTAGACACTTTAACATTGAAGTCTATGGGTAGACACTTTAACATTGGAGTCTATGGGTAGAGACTTTAACATTGGAGTCTATGGGTAGACACTTTAACATTGGAGTCTATGGGTAGAGACTTTAACATTGAAGTCTATGGGAGACTTTAACATTGAAGTCTATGGGTAGACACTTTAACATTGAAGTCTATGGGAGACTTTAACATTGGAGTCTATGGGTAGAGACTTTAACATTGGAGTCTATGGGTAGAGACTTTAACATTGGAGTCTATGGGTAGAGACTTTAACATTGAAGTCTATGGGTAGAGACTTTAACATTGAAGTCTATGGGAGACTTTAACATTGAAGTCTATGGGTAGACACTTTAACATTGGAGTCTGTGGGTAGAGACTTTAACATTGGAGTTTATGGGTAGAGACTTTAACAATTGGAGTCTATGGGTAGACACTTTAACATTGGAGTCTATGGGTAAGAGACTTTAATATTGGAGTCTATGGGAAACTTTAACATTGGAGTCTATGGGTAGAGACTTTAACATTGGAGTCTATGGGTAGACACTTTAACATTGAAGTCTATGGGAGACTTTAACATTGAAGTCTATGGGTAGACATTTTAACATTGAAGTCTATGGGTAGACACTTTAACATTGAAGTCTATGGGTAGACACTTTAACATTGGAGTCTATGGGTAGAGACTTTAACATTGGAGTCTATGGGTAGAGACTTTAACATTGGAGTCTATGGGTAGAGACTTTAACATTGAAGTCTATGGGTAGACACATTAACATTGAAGTCTATGGGTAGAGACTTTAACATTGAAGTCTATGGGAGACTTTAACATTGAAGTCTATGGGTAGACACTTTAACATTGGAGTCCGTGGGTAGAGACTTTAACATTGGAGTCTATGGGTAGAGACTTTAACAATTGGAGTCTATGGGTAGACACTTTAACATTGGAGTCTATGGGTAAGAGACTTTAATATTGGAGTCTATGGGAGACTTTAACATTGGAGTTTATGGGTAGAGACTTTAACATTGGAGTCTATGGGTAGACACTTTAACATTGGAGTCTATGGGTAGACACTTTAACATTGGAGTCTATGGGGGACTTTAACATTGGAATCTATGGGTAGAGACTTTAACATTGGAGTCTATGGATAGACACTTTAACATTGGAGTCTATGGGTAGAGACTTTAACATTGGAGTCTATGTGTAGACACTTTAACATTGGAGTCTATGGGTAGACACTTTAACATTGGAGTCTATGGGTAGACACTTTAACATTGGAGTTTATGGGTAGAGACTTTAACATTGGAGTCTATGGGAGACTTTAACATTGGAGACTATGGGTAGAGACTTTAACGTTGGAGTCTATGGGTAGACACTTTAACATTGGAGTCTATGGGTAGACACTTTAACATTGGAGTCTATGGGTAGACACTTTAACATTGGAGTCTATGGGAGACTTTAACATTGGAGTCTATGGGTAGACACTTTAACATTGGAGTCTATGGATCGACACTTTAACATTGAAGTCTATGGGTAGACACTTTAACATTGGAGTCTGTGGGTAGAGACTTTAACATTGAAGTCTATGGGTAGACACTTTAACATTGGAGTCTATGGGTAGAGACTTTAACATTGAAGCCTATGGGTAGACACTTTAACATTAGAGTCTATGGGTAGAGACTTTAACATTGGAGTCTATGGGTAGACACTTTAACATTGGAGTCTATGGGTAGACTTTAACATTGAAGTCTATGGGTAGACACTTTGACATTGGAGTCTATGGGTAGAGACTTTAACATTGAAGTCTATGGGTAGACACTTTAACATTGAAGTCTATGGGTAGACACTTTAACATTGGAGTCTATGGGTAGACACTTTAACATTGGAGTCTATGGGAAGAGACTTTAACATTGAAGTCTATGGGTAGAGACTTTAACATTGAAGTCTATGGGTAGACACTTTAACATTGGAGTCTATGGGTAGACACTTTAACATTGGAGTCTATGGGTAGACACTTTAACATTGAAGTCTATGGGTAGACACTTTAACATTGGAGTCTATGGGTAGACACTTTAACATTGAAGTCTATGGGTAGACACTTTAACATTGAAGTCTATGGGTAGACACTTTAACATTGGAGTCTATGGGTAGAGACTTTAACATTGGAGTCTATGGGAGACTTTAACATTGAAGTCTATGGGTAGAGACTTTAACATTGGAGTCTATGGGTAGACACTTTAACATTGAAGTCTATGGGCTAGAGACTTTAACATTGAAGTCCATGGGTAGACACTTTAACATTGAAGTCTATGGGTAGACACTTTAACATTGAAGTCTATGGGTAGAGACTTTAACATTGAAGTCTATGGGTAGAGACTTTAACATTGGAGTCTATGGGTAGATACTTTAACATTGGAGTCTATGGGTAGACACTTTAACATTGAAGTCTATGGGTAGACACTTTAACATTGGAGTCTATGGGTAGAGACTTTAACATTGGAGTCTATGGCTAGAGACTTTAACATTGGAGTATATGGGTAGACACTTTAACATTGAAGTCTATGGGTAGACACTTTAACATTGGAGTCTATGGGTAGACACTTTAACATTGGAGTCTATGGGTAGACACTTTAACATTGGAGTCTATGGGTAGACACTTTAACATTGAAGTCTATGGGTAGACACTTTAACATTGGAGTCTATGGGTAGAGACTTTAACATTGGAGTCTATGGCTAGAGACTTTAACATTGGAGTATATGGGTAGACACTTTAACATTGAAGTCTATGGGTAGACACTTAACATTGGAGTCTTGGGTAGACACTTTAACATTGGAGTCTATGGGTAGACACTTTAACATTGGAGTCTATGGCTAGACACTTTAACATTGAAGTCTATGGGTAGACACTTTAACATTGGAGTACACGACACTACACATACACACACACATATATATATCTCGATGTACATAGTTTATTTATCGGGTAATACTGTCTAATATCGTGCGTTTAGTTTTATAGTGCAACGTCAATGTGTAGAACTGTAAATACTCATCATCATAGTCTTATATTTAAAGATCACGTGTCAGGTTGCTACTAAGTAATAATCATTTAATTGTCGATGCTTCTGTCAAATACTTAATTCCCTCATTAAAATGTAAATCAATCTATAACATTTTGACATGCGTTTCTCTGGATTTTGTTGTTGTTATTCTGTCTCTCACTGTTCAAATAAACCTACCGTTACAATGATAGACTGACCATTTCTTTGTTAGTGGGCAAACGTACAAAATCAGCAGGGGATCAAATACTTTTTTCCCTCGCTGTAGTGTATAGTAGTGTAGTATATAGTGTATAGTAGTGTAGTGTATAGTGTAGTGTAGTATATAGTGTATAGTAGTGTAGTGTTGAGTAGTATAGTGTATAGTATTATAGTGTAGTGTATAGTAGTGTAGTGTATAGTGTAGTGTATAGTAGTGTATAGTGTAGTGTATAGTAGTGTAGTGTTTAGTGTAGTGTATAGTAGTGTATAGTGTAGTGTATAGTAGTGTAGTGTATAGTGTAGTATACAGGGTAGTGTATAGTAGTGTAGTGTATAGTAGTGTAGTGTATAGTAGTATAGTGTAGTATGCAAGGTAGTGTATAGTAGTGTATAGTGTAGTATATAGTGTATAGTAGTATAGTGTATAGTAGTGTAGTATATAGTGTAGTATACAGGGTAGTGTATAGTAGGGTAGTGTTGAGTAGTATAGTGTAGTGTATAGTAGTGTAGTGTATAGTAGTGTAGTGTATAGTGTATAGTAGTGTAGTGTATAGTAGTGTAGTGTTGAGTAGTATAGTGTAGTGTATAGTAGTGTAGTGTATAGTGTAGTGTATAGTAGTGTAGTGTATAGTAGTGTAGTGTATAGTAGTATAGTGTAGTATAGTATAGTGTATAGTAGTGTAGTGTATAGTGTAGTATACAGGGTAGTGTATAGTAGTGTAGTGTTGAGTAGTATAGTGTAGTGTATAGTAGTGTAGTATATAGTGTATAGTAGTGTAGTGTATAGTGTAGTATACAGGGTAGTGTACTAGTACAGCACCACACCTGTGTGTTGGAGAGCCAAGCCACAACATTTACAATCTGAGCACCGTTACATTTCGCCAGTAACAACAACCAACTTCATCAGGTGACAGCCATAAAGGGGAAAAAAAAACTCTCCTACCGATTCTTTTCGCGTCACGCTGGGGGGGGCGCAATTATCCTTTTGACGCGAGCGTCGCGATTAGCTCCGTCGCGGCGGCAAAATAACCTCTGAGCCAAACCCCACCCACCCCCTCGCCGCCAACGCCGGATACCGCCCGCGACATCGCCTACTACGAGCCGTCTGTGTCCGTGGAAAGAGCTCCCTCCCTCTTCACGTCATTCCACGCCTGCTCTACCAGCCGCGCCAGCGTCGACAGCCTCACCCTCCCCGGCGCCGCGACTCGTTGCACGCGCTCCATCAGACGGCTCCTCAGGTGCCGCACGCCCTGAACGTACTCGGCGCTAACCGCGGCCATCGGCGGAGTCCCGTGCCACGGGCTTGGCAGGTACAAGTAGTTCTCGGAGTGCCCCACGACGTCCGCAAGACGACCGCGCGAGCCCTCGTCGCCCTCCTTGCCCGCCAGGGTCACGGCGGCGAACCGCTTTAGCAGCGCCCGCTCCCTCGCCTTCTCGACGCACGCCGGCACCCCCGCCCGAGTTCTGGCGGACGAAGATGCAGGCGGCTTCCTTGCGTTGCCTCCCCCCCGTTCGGAGGAGCGCCCGGACGACGTCGCCCTCCAGGGAGTCCTCCCCCCCCGCGTTCCCCTCCAGGATCACGAGGGCGACGTGGCTCACGGCGATCGCGAACGCGACCAGCTCGCCGTCGCGCTCGGGGCTCGCCGGCCCGGGCGACGCCAGCCCCTCGACGCTGACGGCGAGCACGTAGCCGGGGGCCGCCGCTGCGTCGCCCCCCCCCTCGACGGCCACGAGCGTCGCGAAGGCTCCGCGGACCGCCCCCCCGCCCGCTCCGCCGCCGCCCGCCGGGAAGCGGGAGCCGAGCGTCGTGTTGAGCAGCGCGAACGTCTCGGCGCGGTGGGGGCCCAGCGCCGAGAGCACGAAGACCGTCGGGTCCCCGAGCTCGCGGCCCGCCGCCCCCAGGACGTCGGCGAGCCACTTGGCGGGCACGCTGCCCCCGTCGACGTCCACCAGCTCCAGCGGGGAGCCGCTCAGGAGCAGCCGGGCGCCGATCTCCGGCGCCCGCCGCAAGTCGTCGTCGTCGTCGCCCGAGACGCCGCCGACGACGCCGCGGGCCGCCTCGTAGGCCGCCTTGTAGGCCGCCTCGTAGGCCGCCTCGTAGGCCCACGCCACCTCCCGCAGGAAGTGCTCCGCTCCCAGGCAGCTGTCCCGCGCGGCCTCGTCCCGCCCGGCGAGCGACAGCACGACGGCGGAGCGCTCGTCCAGCTCGACGGCCAGCCGCCGCAGGAAGGCCGCGGGGTCGTCCGCGGGCTCCTCCAGGAGCCGCCGCAGAAACGTGGGCGCGGCGAGCCGAGCCCCGGACGCGCGGACGCCGAGGCGGGGGTCGTCCCTCCGCCCCGGGCGGCTCGGCCGCTTGCCGCCCTGGCGGGGGAGGCGCTCCCGCTTGTAGAGGGCGACGCCGAGGTCGGCCACCTCGGACACGACCTCGTCGGCCGCGGGCGAGCCGGGCCAGCCGTCGACTTGGATGCCCCGCTCCCGGGCGAGGCGCTCCATCTCCGCGGGCGTGCTGCCCGCCGTCCGCGTGTTCGCGAGCAGGGTGGCGATCTTGGAGCGCAGTCTGCTCGCGAAGGAGGCCTTGTTCTGGCCGCGCCGATTGACGTCCGCGACCTTCGTCCCCGGCAGCGTCGAGAGGATGCCGCTCACCGCCGACTCGGCGTCCTCCCCGTCCTCGAAGTCGGTGAGCAGGAACACCGGCGTCGCCGCGCCCGCCAGCAAGGCCCGGCAACGCTCCGCGCTCTTCCGGACGACGTCGCCGCCGACAAAGAGGAACGTCGCGACGGACGCCGCCCGCAGAAAGCCGAACTGCCTCTCGAGGCGGCTGTCGGCGGCGTCGCCGCGCAGGTTCAGGGCGCAGAAGGGGCTCCGAGCGTCCTCCTCCTCCTCCGCGTCCGCCTCGGCGCCCGGGAAGTACGGCGAGATCTCCACCAGCCCGTCGGCAACCACCCGGGGCACGTCGCCCTGCGCCGTGTCGCGGTGGACGAACGCCTCGTGGCCCCGACCGCCGACGATCAAGTTGAGCAGCTCCGATTTGGAGCCGCCACCGCCGCGGCCGAAGCGAGCGAACGCCACGCACGGCATGCGCAGGACCAGCGCCGGGGAGCGCCCGTCGCCGCGGGCGTCCCGCCAACCTGTCCGCCGCGTCGAGATCTGCCAACCCCTCCACTGCCTCGCGACGTGCCGCGCGGCGCACAGCTTCAGCGTGACGACCCCCCGTCCCGCGTCGGGCAGCAGCAGGGGCAGCGCGAAGCGGCACGCGGACATCTTGTGCATCAGGTCGTCCTGCAGCGGGTGGTCGGCGCACAGCAGGACCGCGACCTCCAGATCCAGCGGGTTGATGAAGCCGTCCGAGATCCTGTCGCTGGCGCTCGCGGAGCTGGCCCTGCGCGCGGCGCGGGCGGTGCTGGCGCTCCGGGACTCGGGGTTCGTCATCATCACGTCCTGCACAAAGTGTCGCGCGACCTCCTCCAGCGAGCTGGGATGCTTGCGCCGCCTGCTCAGAGTGACGACGTCGCGGCGTCGCATCTTGTCCCCGTAGCGCCATCGCATCTTGTCCTCGTCGGCCCGTTGCATCTTGTCCTCGTCGCCCCGTTGCATCTTGTCCCCGTAGCATTGGCTCAGGTTGAGCTCGTGGAGGATTTGGAAGAACGTCACCGAATTCGTTTCACCTGGAGGTGCTGCAAGACATCACGATCGATTACATTCACCGCGTAATGCTTCACGATCATCATCATCGTCGTCGTCATGGTCGAGTTGGCATACAAGGCAAAAACAACACAAACAAACCTCATGCAGATCAAGAATCAACCAGGACACAACCACTACCAACCAAACAAACACAAAACACGTTTGGACTGATCTTTCTAATTTACACCACCACAACCTTCGCAGAGAAATCTCTACACTCAGCACTCCATCATTAATCTCTCCTTCATCCACAGCTCCCTCCTTCATCCACAGCTCCCTCCTTCATCGACAGCTCTCTCCTTCACCCACAGCTCTCTCCTTCACCCACAGCTCTCTCCTTCATCCACAGCTCTCTCCTTCACCCACAGCTCTCTCCTTCACCCACAGCTCCCTCCTTCATCCACAGCTCCCTCCTTCATCCACAGCTCCCTCCTTCACCCACAGCTCTCTCCTTCATCCACAGCTCTCTCCTTCACCCACAGCTCTCTCCTTCACCCACAGCTCCCTCCTTCATCCACAGCTCTCTCCTTCATCCACAGCTCCCTCCTTCACCCACAGCTCTCTCCTTCATCCACAGCTCTCTCCTTCATCCACAGCTCCCTCCTTCACCCACAGCTCTCTCCTTCACCCACAGCTCTCTCCTTCATCCACAGCTCCCTCCTTCACCCACAGCTCTCTCCTTCACAGCTCTCTCCTTCACCCACAGCTCTCTCCTTCACCCACAGCTCTCTCCTTCATCCACAGCTCTCTCCTTCACCCACAGCTCTCTCCTTCATCCACAGCTCTCTCCTTCACCCACAGCTCTCTCCTTCACCCACAGCTCTCTCCTTCATCCACAGCTCTCTCCTTCACCCACAGCTCCCTCCTTCATCCACAGCTCCCTCCTTCACCCACAGCTCTCTCCTTCACCCACAGCTCTCTCCTTCATCCACAGCTCCCTCCTTCACCCACAGCTCTCTCCTTCACAGCTCTCTCCTTCATCCACAGCTCTCTCCTTCACCCACAGCTCTCTCCTTCATCCACAGCTCTCTCCTTCACCCACAGCTCTCTCCTTCACCCACAGCTCTCTCCTTCATCCACAGCTCTCTCCTTCACCCACAGCTCTCTCCTTCATCCACAGCTCTCTCCTTCATCCACAGCTCTCTCCATCCACAGCTCCCTCTTCTCTTGTCCCCACTGTCCCCTCTCTCATTCCCTCATCACTGTCACCTCATCACTGTCACCTCATTCCCAGCGACCAGTCACGCATCGTCACACCTCGGACCGTGTCTCCTCATCTCCGTACCAACCAATCACAGATCATCACACGGTGAGGGGGTTCCTCCCGGTTTATTGCGGGAACCATTACAGGGGGGGACTGATAAGCCACGAAGAGTCGCAACGGGTCTGTGAGAATTTCTAAACTAGTTTTTATGACTCTTCATTTCTTTCGGTAAAGTCACGTGGGAATTCAGAGCAGCAGCCAAATTAATCTTAAAACGCGTGCTGACGTTGAGTATAAATGTGGAGGAAAAACCGGAGGACCCGGAGAAAAATCCACGCGACCATGGGGAGAGAGAGATGCAGACTCCAGATATACAGCAGCAGGCGTCAGGGTCTGGGATCGAACTCACGACCTCCTGTGCACCAGGCGAGGTAGTTAACATCTCACCACTCCTAGCCACCGTTGCCGCGGCAATACAAGTGCAAGAATCGGCGATAGAAACATTCGCCGCTGCCGCTGCTGCCGCTGCTGTTCTAAGGCGAGAGGATTACGTACACAGCCTGTCCAACCAGTCCTTGAGCGGTGGGTAGTGCTTGTGGATTTCCTTTAAGACGCTCAGCAGATTCTGGCATGCGGTCTCCCCGCCGTCGATGAAGTGGTCGAGGATGAAGTTGGCGCTGTCCTCCTGGACCGGCATGTCCTTGGCGCGGTGGTAAATGGGCCTCGTGATGAATTCGTGCCGGTCCAGCGCGTCGAGGAAGAACGAGACGTCCCGGCTCAGGATCGTCTTCAGAACGGGCTTCTCCCAGCGAATCAGCTTCACCGTTTGGTTGCCTGCAAAGGAGAAAAGGTCGTAGATTCCCGCCGCTTGTTGTAGCCTCAGCGGACCGTAGGGTGCAAGTGGCTGTGAGTAGCGAGTAGCGAGTAGCGGCAGCGCCTGTGGAGGCTACCGGCACCGTGGCTACACACAGAGGGGGTGGGTGGACAGCACCACCACGCCAAAACACACACATACACGTACAGACACACACACACACACTCACACACAGATACTCACACACACAGACACACAGACACACACAGACACACACACACAGACACACACACAGACACACACAGACACACACAGACACACACACACACACACAGACACACACAGACACTCACACAATCCCGTGACCCTGTGAGATGTTGACTACCTCGCCTGGTGTTCAGGAGGTCGTGGGTTCAATCCCAGACCCTGTGAGATGTTGACTACCTCGCCTGGTCTACAGGAGGTCGTGGGTTCAATCCCAGACCTGTGAGATGTTAACTACCTCGCCTGGTCTACGGGAGGTCGTGGGTTCAATCCCGTGACCCTGTGAGATGTTAACTACCTCGCCTGGTCTGCAGGAGGTCGTGGGTTCAATCCCAGACCCTGTGAGATGTTGACTACCTCGCCTGGTCTACAGGAGGTCGTGGGTTCAATCCCGTGACCCTGTGAGATGTTGACTACCTCGCCTGGTGTTCAGGAGGTCGTGGGTTCAATCCCAGACCCTGTGAGATGTTGACTACCTCGCCTGGTCTACAGGAGGTCGTGGGTTCAATCCCAGACCTGTGAGATGTTAACTACCTCGCCTGGTCTACGGGAGGTCGTGGGTTCAATCCCGTGACCCTGTGAGATGTTAACTACCTCGCCTGGTCTGCAGGAGGTCGTGGGTTCAATCCCAGACCCTGTGAGATGCTGACTACCTCGCCTGGTCTACAGGAGGTCGTGGGTTCAATCCCGTGACCCTGTGAGATGTTGACTACCTCGCCTGGTGTTCAGGAGGTCGTGGGTTCAATCCCAGACCCTGTGAGATGTTGACTACCTCGCCTGGTCTACAGGAGGTCGTGGGTTCAATCCCAGACCCTGTGAGATGTTGACTACCTCGCCTGGTCTACAGGAGGTTGTGGGTTCAATCCCGTGACCCTGACAATGCCTGCTGCTGTATAACAGCAACGCTATATGTCCTGACCTTTAGCCCACCCTGTAGAATAGTAACAACTCTTTGTGCCCTGAGTTTAGGGCCACGCGGCATATCTAAAAAAGGACAAATGTTCATCTCCAACGTCAGCGGAACGTCTGATTTGCATGGACGTAACATTGACCTCTCAGGAATGTAAAATAACCACAATTTTTGAAGCCTCTGGGGGGTTGCACTCAACTTCCTCATTTCACGCAACTCAGGGACATTCCCATTGCGTCACTGCACGGGAGGTTACGCGATGTTGACTGCCTCGCCTGGTCTACAGGAGGTCGTGGGTTCGATCCCAGACCCTGTGAGATGTTGACTGCCTCGCCTGGTCTACAGGAGGTCGTGGGTTCGATCCCGGACCCTGTGAGATGTTGACTGCCTCGCCTGGTCTACATGAGGTCGTGGGTTTGATCTCGGACCCTGTGAGATGTTGACTACCTCGCCTGGTCTACAGGAGGTCGTGGGTTCGATCCCAGACCCTGTGAGATGTTGACTGCCTCGCCTGGTCTACAGGAGGTCGTGGGTTCGCTCTCGGACCCTGTGAGATGTTGACTGCCTCGCCTGGTCTACAGGAGGTCGTGGGTTCGCTCTCGGACCCTGTGAGATGTTGACTACCTCGCCTGGCGTACAGGAGGTCGTGGGTTCGATCTCGGACCCTGTGAGATGTTGACTGCCTCGCGTGGTCTACAGGAGGTCGTGGGTTCGATCTTGGACCCTGTGAGATGTTGACTGCCTCGCCTGGTCTACAGGAGGTCGTGGGTTCGATCCCAGACCCTGTGAGATGTTGACTACCTCGCCTGGTCTACAGGAGGTCGTGGGTTCGATCTTGGACCCTGTGAGATGTTGACTGCCTCGCCTGGTCTACAGGAGGTCGTGGGTTCGATCCCAGACCCTGTGAGATGTTGACTACCTCGCCTGGTCTACAGGAGGTCGTGGGTTCGATCCCAGACCCTGTGAGATGTTGACTACCTCGCCTGGTCTACAGGAGGTCGTGGGTTCGATCTCGGACCCTGTGAGATGTTGACTGCCTCGCGTGGTCTACAGGAGGTCGTGGGTTCGATCTCGGACCCTGTGAGATGTTGACTGCCTCGCCTGGTATACAGGAGGTCGTGGGTTCGATCTCGGACCCTGTGAGATGTTGACTGCCTCGCCTGGTCTACAGGAGGTCGTGGGTTCGATCCCGGACCCTGTGAGATGTTGACTACCTCGCCTGGTCTACAGGAGGTCGTGGGTTCGATCCCAGACCCTGGAAGATGTTGACTGCCTCGCCTGGTATACATGAGGTCGTGGGTTTGATCTCGGACCCTGTGAGATGTTGACTACCTCGCCTGGTCTACAGGAGGTTGTGGGTTCGATCCCAGACCCTGTGAGATGTTGACTGCCTCGCCTGGTCTACAGGAGGTCGTGGGTTCGCTCTCGGACCCTGTGAGATGTTGACTACCTCGCCTGGTCTACAGGAGGTCGTGGGTTCGATCTCGGACCCTGTGAAATGTTGACTGCCTCGCGTGGTCTACAGGAGGTCGTGGGTTCGATCTTGGACCCTGTGAGATGTTGACTGCCTCGCCTGGTCTACAGGAGGTCGTGGGTTCGATCCCAGACCCTGTGAGATGTTGACTACCTCGCCTGGTCTACAGCAGGTCGTGGGTTCGATCTCGGACCCTGTGAGATGTTGACTACCTCGCCTGGTCTACAGGAGGTCGTGGGTTCGATCTTGGACCCTGTGAGATGTTGACTGCCTCGCCTGGTCTACAGGAGGTCGTGGGTTCGATCCCAGACCCTGTGAGATGTTGACTACCTCGCCTGGTCTACAGCAGGTCGTGGGTTCGATCTCGGACCCTGTGAGATGTTGACTACCTCGCCTGGTCTACAGGAGGTCGTGGGTTCGATCTTGGGCCCTGTGAGATGTTGACTGCCTCGCCTGGTCTACAGGAGGTCGTGGGTTCGATCCCAGACCCTGTGAGATGTTGACTACCTCGCCTGGTCTACAGCAGGTCCTGGGTTCGATCTCGGACCCTGTGAGATGTTGACTACCTCGCCTGGTATACAGGAGGTCGTGGGTTCGATCCCAGACCCTGTGAGATGTTGACTGCCTCGTCTGGTCTACAGGAGGTCGTGGGTTCGATCTTGGACCCTGTGAGATGTTGACTGCCTCGCCTGGTCTACAGGAGGTCTTGGGTTCGATCTCGGACCCTGTGAGATGTTGACTGCCTCGCCTGGTCTACAGGAGGTCATGGGTTCGATCTCGGACCCTGTGAGATGTTGACTACCTCGCCTGGTCTACAGGAGGTCGTGGGTTCGATCCTAGACCCTGTGAGATGTTGACTGCCTCGTCTGGTCTACAGGAGGTCGTGGGTTCGATCCCAGACCCTGTGAGATGTTGACTACCTCGCCTGGTCTACAGGAGGTCTTGGGTTCGATCTCGGACCCTGTGAGATGTTGACTGCCTCGCCTGGTCTACAGGAGGTCATGGGTTCGATCTCGGACCCTGTGAGATGTTGACTACCTCGCCTGGTCTACAGGAGGTCGTGGGTTCGATCCTAGACCCTGTGAGATGTTGACTGCCTCGTCTGGTCTACAGGAGGTCGTGGGTTCGATCTCGGACCCTGTGAGATGTTGACTGCCTCGCCTGGTATACAGGAGGTCGTGGGTTCGATCTTGGACCCTGTGAGATGTTGACTGCCTCGCCTGGTCTACAGGAGGTCGTGGGTTCGATCTCGGACCCTGTGATATGTTGACTGCCTCGCCTGGTCTACAGGAGGTCGTGGGTTTGATCTCGGACCCTGTGATATGTTGACTGCCTCGCCTGGTCTACAGGAGGTCGTGGGTTTGATCTCGGACCCTGTGAGATGTTGACTGCCTCGCCTGGTCTACAGGAGGTCGTGGGTTCGATCTCGGACCCTGACGATGCCTGCTGCTGCCTATTTGCAGTCTGTGTTTGTCTGTCTGTGTGTGTCTGTGAGTGTGTGTGTCAGTCTGTGTGTGTCTGTGTGGGGAGCGGTAGTGTAGCGGTTAGCGCGCTGCGCTATGAACCTGGCGACCCGGGTTCGATTCCCGCTCACGGCTAACACCATGTGACGATTATCTGAACCGGTCCCGGGCCTCCCCTAGGTCGACTCAGCCTTAAATGAGTACCTGGTGCGGTATGTAAACATCGCCACTGGGGAGACAAAGGCGGTCGGGCGTGGTGCTGGCCACCCACCCCCTCGTGTACCGTTCCGGCCTTCATAGGTGCTCGCTAACAGCACTTGCCCCTCCAGTCTGTTAAGGCTATACGGGGGATCTTTGTCTTTATCTTTGTCTGTGTGTGAGTGTGTGTGTCAGTCTGTGTGTGTGTGTGTGTGTCTGTGTGTGTGTCAGTCTGTGTGTGTGTGTGTCAGTCTGTGTGTGTGTGTCAGTCTGTGTGTGTCTGTGTGTGTGTGTGTCAGTCTGTGTGTGTGTCTCTCTACACCATGACATCGGTAGCCAGAGCAGGAGCTGTCTGCATCTACAGCAGCCCATAGACTAACATTGCCCATAGACTAACATTGCCCATAGACTAACATTGCCCATAGACTAACATTGCCCATAGACTAACATTGCCCATAGACTAACACTGCCCATAGACTAACACTGCCCATAGACTAACATTGCCCATAGACTAACATTGCCCCATAGACTAACATTGCCCAAAGACTAACATTGCCCATAGACTAACATTGCCCATAGACTCACATTGCCCATAGACTAACATTTCCCACATAGACTAACATTGCCCATAGACTCAACATTGCCCACAGACTCAACATTGCCCCATAGACTCAACATTGCCCATAGACTCAACACTACCCATAGACTCAACATTGCCCCATAGACTCAACATTGCCCCATAGCTCAACATTGCCCCATAGACTCAACATTGCCCATAGACTCAACACTACCCCATAGACTCAAACAATACCCATAGATCAACATTGACCCATAGACCGTCAACATGCCGAGACCTCAACATTGTCCATAGACTCACACAATACCCATAGACTCAACATTGACCAATAGGACTCACATTGCCCAATAGATCAACATTGCCCCATAGACTCAAACACTACAGAGACTCACCTTGCCCCATAGATCAACTCATGCCCATAGACTAACATTGCCCTAGACTCAACATTGCCCAGAGAACTCACATGCCCACCATAGACTCAACATTGCCCATAGACTCAAAACAGCTACCATAGACCTCACATTGCCCATAGACTCAACATTGCCCCATAGACTCAACACTACCCATAGACTCAACACTACCCATAGACTCAACACTACCCATAGACTCAACATGCCCATAGACTCAACACTGCCCATAGACTCAACATGCCCATAGACTCAACACTACCCATAGACTCAACACTGCCCATAGACTCAACATGCCCATAGACTCAACATGCCCATAGACTCAACATGCCCATAGACTCAACATGCCCCATAGACTCAACACTACCCAGACTCAACATGCCCATAGACTCAACACTGCCCAGACTCACATTGCCCCATAGACTCAACACTACCCATAGACTCAACATTGCCCCATAGACTCAACACTACCCATAGACTCAACATGCCCATAGACTCAACACTGCCATAGACTCAACATTGCCCATAGACTCAACATGCCCCATAGACTCACACTACCCAAGACTCAACATGCCCCATAGACTCAACATGCCCCATAGATCAACACTGCCCATAGACTCAACATGCCCATAGACTCAACACTGCCCATAGACTCAACACTACCCATAGACTCAACACTGCCCCATAGACTCAACATGCCCATAGACTCAACATGCCCCATAGATCAACATTGCCCATAGATCAACTGCCCATAGACTCAACATGCCCATAGACTCAACACTGCCCATAGACTCAACACTGCCCATAGACTCAACATGCCCATAGACTCACTGCCCATAGACTCAACATGCCCATAGACTCAACATGCCCCATAGACTCAACACTGCCCATAGACTCAACACTGCCCATAGACTCAACACTACCCATAGACTCAACATGCCCCATAGACTCAACATGCCCCATAGACTCAACATGCCCCATAGACTCAACACTGCACCATAGACTCAACACTGCCCATAGACTCAACACTGCCCCATAGACTCAACACTACCCATAGACTCAACACTGCACCATAGACTCAACACTACCCATAGACTCAACACTACACATAGACTCAACTGCCCATAGACTCAACACTGCCCATAGACTCAACATGCCCATAGACCAGCACTGCCACCATAGACTCAACATGCCCATAGACTCAACATGCCCCATAGACTCAACATGCCCATAGACTCAACATGCCCATAGACTCAACACTACCCATAGACTCAACATGCCCATAGACTCAACACTGCCCATAGACTCAACACTGCCCATAGACTCAACACTACCCATAGACTCAACATGCCCCATAGACTCAACACTACCCATAGACTCAACATGCCCATAGACTCAACACTGCCCATAGACTCAACACTGCCCATAGACTCAACACTGCCCATAGACTCAACACTGCCCATAGACTCAACATGCCCCATAGACTCAACATGCCCATAGACTCAACACTGCCCATAGACTCAACACTGCCCATAGACTCAACACTACCCATAGACTCAACACTGCCCATAGACTCAACACTGCCCATAGACTCAACACTGCCCATAGACTCAAACTGCACCATAGACTCAACACTGCCCATAGACTCAACACTGCCATAGACTCAACACTACCATAGACTCAACACTGCACCATAGACTCAACACTGCCCATAGACTCAACACTACCCATAGACTCAACACTGCACCATAGACTCAACATTGCCCATAGACTCAACACTGCCCATAGACTCAACACTGCCCATAGACTCAACACTACCCATAGACTCAACACTGCCCATAGACTCAACACTGCCCATAGACTCAACACTGCCCATAGACTCAACACTGCCCATAGACTCAACACTGCCCATAGACTCAACATTGCCCATAGACCACACTGCCCATAGACTCAACACTGCCCCATAGACTCAACATTGCCCATAGACTCAACATTGCCCCATAGACTCAACATTGCCCCATAGACTCAACACTCCCAGAGACTCAACATTGCCCCATAGACTCAACACTGCCCATAGACTCAACATTGCCCCATAGACTCAACACTACCCATAGACTCAACATTGCCCCATAGACTCAACACTACCCATAGACTCAACATTGGCCCATAGACTCAACACTGCCATAGACTCAACACTACCCATCGACTCAACATTGCCCCATAGACTCAACACTGCACATAGACTCAACACTGCCCATAGACTCAACACTGCCCATAGACTCAACACTGCCCATAGACTCAACACTCCATCGACTCAACATTGCCCCATAGACTCAACACTGCCCATAGACTCAACACTGCCCATAGACTCAACACTGCCCATAGACTCAACACTACCCATAGACTCAACACTGCCCATAGACTCAACACTGCCCATAGACTCAACACTGCCCATAGACTCAACACTGCACCATAGACTCAACACTGCCCATAGACTCAACACTGCACCATAGACTCAACACTACCCATAGACTCAACACTGCACCATAGACTCAACACTGCCCATAGACTCAACACTACCCATAGACTCAACACTGCACCATAGACTCAACACTGCCCATAGACTCAACACTGCCCATAGACTCAACACTGCCCATAGACTCAACACTGCCCATAGACTCAACACTGCCCATAGACTCAACACTGCCCATAGACTCAACACTGCCCATAGACTCAACACTGCCCATAGACTCAACACTACCCATAGACTCAACACTGCCCATAGACTCAACACTGCATCTACATCAGCCAGCCCGGACAGAACAAGGAGACGAAAGAGAGATGAATGAAGTGAGGGGAACTGAGGTTTCGTTTACCTCGCGAATAATGGGCCATGCTTCTGTCGCTCCTCCGTGGCTCCGTGTCTCTGTCTTCAGTTCTCACTCACTCACTCACCACTCACTCAGCCACTCACTCACTCAGCCACTCACTCACTCACCACTCACTCAGCCACTCACCCACTCACCCACTCAGCCACTCACTCACTCAGCCACTCACTCACCCACTCACTCACTCAGCCACTCACTCACTCAGCCACTCACTCACTCAGCCACTCACTCACCCACTCACTCACTCAGCCCTCACTCACTCAGCCACTCACTCAGCCACTCACTCACCCACTCGCTCACCAACTCACCCACTCACTCAGCCACTCACTCACCCACTCACTCGCTCACTCACCCACTCGCTCACTCACCCACTCGCTCAACTCACCCACTCGCTCAACTCACCCACTCACCCACTCACTCAGCCACTCACTCACCCACTCACCCACTCACTCAGCCACTCGCTCACCCACTCACACCACTCACCCACTCACTCAGCCACTCACTCACCCCCACTCACCCCACTCACTCAGCCACTCGCTCACCCACTCACCCACTCACCCACTCACTCAGCCACTCCCTCACCCACTCCCCCACCTCACTCAGCCACTCGCTCACCCACTCACCCACTCACCCCACTCACTCGCTCACTCACCCACTCGCTACACTCACCCACCTCACTCGCTCACTAACCCACTCACCCACTCACTCACTCACCCCCTCACCACTCACCCACTATCACTCCACGCCGCTCACTCACCCACTCGCTCACTCACCCACTCACGTCTCACTCACTCACCCACTCACTCACTCAGCCACTCACCCATCACAGCTCTTCGTGACCACGACCCAAGACGCCACCTGCAGGGGTTCCGACCTCCCTTAGTGAACTTGGCAATGTATACACTGCACTGTACACTACATTATATACTACACACTATACACTACACCAGGGGTCGGCAACCAAAAATAACAAGAAGAGCCATTTCTTTCCAATTCGGTACAAAATTCAGTATTTCAAGAGCCGCAAATGCATCTGAGTACATACTGTACATACGTACATATCGTCAAGAAGCAGCCCGTAAAGAGCTGCATGCGGCTCCGGAGCCATAGGTTGCCGACCCCTGCACTACACTATACACTACTACACTAGACACTACTACACTATACACTACTACACTATAACCTACTACACTATAACACTACTGCACTATACCTACCTAGACACTACTACACTATACACTACACTATACACTACTACACTATACACTACTACACTATACACTACTACACTATACACTACTACACTATACACTACTACACTACACTATACACTACTACACTATACACTACACTATACACTACACTATACACTACTACACTATACACTACTACACTATACACTACTACACTATACACTACTACACTATACACTACTACACGATACACTACTACACTACACTATACACTACTACACTATACACTACACTATACACTACACTATACACTACTACACTATACACTACTACACTACACTATACACTACTACACTATACACTACACTATACACTACACTATACACTACAATAACCCTATACACTACACTAGACACTATACACTACAGTATACACTACAGTATACACTACTACACTATACACTACACTGTACACTACACACTATACGACACTATACACTGCACTATCACTGCAACTGTACACTACACTATACACTACACACTATATTATATACTACACTACACACTATACACTACATTATATACTACACTACACTATACACTACATTATACACTATACACTACGTATACACTACGTATCCACTGCACTATACACTACATTATACACTACACACTATAAACTACATTATACACTACACACTACATTATACACTACACATTACACACTACGTATACACTGCACTATACACTACATAATACACTACACTATACACTGCATTATACACTACGTATACACTGCACTATACACTACATTATACACTATACACTACATTATACACTACGTATATACTGCACTACACACTACATTATACACTATACACTACATTATACACTACACTATACACTACATTATACACTACACACTACATTATACACTACGTATATACTGCACTACACACTACATTATACACTATACACTACATTATACACTACACTATACACTACATTATACACTACACACTGCACTATACACTACATATACACTACACACTACATTATACACTACGTATACACTGCACTATACACTACATTATACACTACACTATACACTACATTATACACTATACACTACATTATACACTACGTATACACTGCACTATACACTACACACTACATTATACACTACGTATACACAACACGAAACACTACAATGCACTACATATACCCGACCTATACCCTACACTACTACATTATACACTACACACTACACTACTGCACACTACACGATACACTACACTACACACCACTACTATACAGCCTACTACTACACAGTACACTACACTACTAAGCACCACACTACTATACACTACACTACATAATACACTACATTAAACATTACACGATGCACCACACTACTACATTATACACTACACTACTATACAACACTATACACCACACTACTACATTATACACTACACTACTACACTACACTATACACCACACTACTACATTATACACTACACACTACACTACTACATTATACACTACACACTACACTACTACATTATACACTACACTACGCACTACTATACACTACACTACTACACACTACACTACATGATACACCAAACTACTAAATTATACACTACACTACACTCTACACCACACTACTACATTATACACTACACTACTATAACACTACACACCACTATACACCACACTACTACATTATACACTACACTACTATACACTACACTACTACACTACATGATACACCACACTACTACATTATTCACTACACACTACACTACACACCACACAACAACATTTTACACTACACACTACACTACACTCTACACCACACTACTACATTATACACTACACACCACAACAACAACATGTTACACTACACACTACACTACACACCTTGGATCAGCAGGGCTGTGGCTTCCTAGTCTGTTGCCGACGGACATTCACAGCAAAGTCGTTCCCATCATGTCCACTCCTTCTGTGACCACCCACGCACTCCACCTCCCACTCCACCACCCACCACCACCACCACCCACCACCCACACCACCATCACCACCACCCACACCACCATCACCACCACCACCCACTACCACCCACACCACCACCCACACCACCACCACCCACTACCACCACCCACACCACCACCCACCCCACCACCGTCACTGAAGTCCGTTCTAGTTCTGTAGTCGTCATTCTGCGAGTAGGATTGAGAGGGTACAATGCGGAAATGTCCCGCATAGTTGCAATTTTTCTTGATGATGTTGTTGTATCTGTGTGTGTATGTCGGTGTGTGTGTGTGTGCATTGTGTGTATGTGCGTGTGTCTGTGCGTGCCACACCTATTACCATAAATAGGGTAAAAAAAAACGGTGATCCAATCTCCGACCCCCAGGAACAGGTTTGCAGATTTGCTGAGCATTTCTGTGAGGTCCTGGGGGAGGGGAAATCCCTTGACATGGAAAACATCATGGCACAAAGTGGGGATGACCCTGCTGAGGCTGCGGTGGCCTCAAATATTGGAAGAAGAAGTCACCCCCCGTGAGTGGCTGGCTGAGGTGCCAGCTGTTGAGGAAGTACTGAAGGCGATCAGGAGTCTGAGACCAGGAAAGACACCGAGCAGAGATGATCGATCTCCCAAGTGAAAGCTGATGGAATTGTGTCAAACCACCTTCTCCCCTGACTGTGAGGATGTGTCACTGCACGTGGTGCTGCCAATTTTGCTGCGTTTCTGGTGGTTTTTTCTTTGTCTCAACAGCACCACCATGCCCCAGGTCTGGTTGGTTTAGCAGCCTGAGGCCTCTGCCTCACCCCCTCGCTCTCGCTCTCTCTCTGTTCCACTCCTTCCCTCACGGCACTCCTTATTTCTCTCTTGCTGTTATATTCATCTTTATTTCCTCTTCTCTCTTTGAAATAAAAACCTCTCGTCGACTTTTCTCATCACTCGCGTTGTACTGCTGCCGTCCATCGTGGCACCGCATGACAAGTTCGAGTCTCTCCCTCGGAGGAATGCGGTCATTCGTCTTCCACCACACGAGATCGCCATCGAGGTCGTCCTTGCCGCGGTGGTCGAGCGCGTCGGCAGGCATCCTCATTGCCCAGCGACACAACCGTGGCGTCGTCTTCTACATGGCCAAGGAAAGTTCGGCGGCGCGCCTCGTAGAAATGGGGCTCGACATCAAGGGGGGGGAGCTGTTTGTGCAGTGCACCCCTTCTCTCTCTTCACCCACCGTGTGCTGATCTCCAACGTGCCGCCCTTCCTCAAAAGCAGCAACCTGCAGCGAGACCTAGAGCGGTTCGGCACGATCGTCTCCCGCAACATCACGCTGCCTTTGAGGAAACGGGACCTAAAGCTGGCACACATCATGTCGCTCCGGCGACAAGCCTTCATGATCCTGAAGGACAGTAACACGGACCTCAACGTGACCTTCAAGTACACGATCGAGAGCTGCGTCCACACCGTGTACGCCTCCACGGCCGTGCCATGGTGTTTCGGGTTTGGTGGTGTCGGCCACGCTCGGAAAAACTGCCCGTCCAGAGCGCGGAAGATGCCCAGGCTGCTGGCCGGACGTTTCCCCTCCACAACCACCTTCCTCGCCCTGTATATGGCGAGCTTGGCAGAGCCGACGAGCACGTTGACCGGCCCCTGAAGATGTTGGGGTCCGTCACCCCTCGAGTATCCAAAGATGAGGACCGTCGGGGAGAAGTGGAGGCTGAACTTTAGGAGGATGTTTCTCAGGACCTTGAACAGCGAGTCCAGGCTCTTGCACTCCACGTATCGGTGCGCCACCGTCTCCACTTTACCGCAGAACCGGCACTCCGGGGACGTGTCGGTGAAGCGCGCCAGGGAGGCGTTGGCGGTGACGGTGCCGTGGGCGACACTCCAGCCGAGGTCGCCGACGCGGTTGTACGTCGGGCTGGAGTAGAGTTGCCTCCAGCGAGGCCTCTCCGGAGACACGCAGGGCAGCAGGGCTCTCCTCCAGGCCTGGTCCTTGTGGCTCCTCAGGGTGTCCTGTTGGTGACACCGGACCATGTAGGAGTAGAGCACCTTCCTCTTGACATTTGCGAAGGGCCACCTCCGGTAGGTCTCCCAGCCGGCACGGGTCGTGATCCGCCTTCACTTGTCGGCACTGGCGATGCAGCGGCACGACGGAGAGCTCCGGTGGAGGGGACCGAGAGGGGCCTCGTCATCCCCAACGCCGATGGGGGGCGTTCTCCCCCGCTGCCGCTGAGAAGGCCCCCTTGGCTTCGGCCAGGATCCGGGCAGCCACCCGGAGCGACTGCAGCCCCCCGTCTTGCGGCCATGTCTGCCGGTCCGAGCCACCGGCCCCGTGTTCCAGGCTCCACCAGATCTCCCGTTCTGGTGAGCCGCGTGTTGGCGAGGCGCCTCTCCGTGCCGGGGGTGGCGGTGGTGGTGGATGGCAGCTTTGTATTGCGGGTTCCTGAGGATCGGTTCGAAGACCAGATCTTCGGCCGATCGCGGCTGGTTCAGCCTCCTGACGGCGAGGGAGCTCCACGTCGGCAGGACGCTCCTGTAGAAAGGTGGCAGCAGCTGTCCCAGTGGGAGGCCCTGCAGGTCCCCCTCTACCCCTCTCTCTCTCTCCCTCTCTCTACACCTCCACCCCTCCCTTTCCACCCCTCCACCCCGCTCTCTCCCCCTCTGCATGTTGGGAAGAGGGTGCGTTTCCCTGCGTTCCAAGCATTCTATGACCCGCGAACGACGGCCTAGTTTTCATCTGCATCATAGCGTCGCTAGAAAGAGTTTTTTGTGCTTCACGGTGACCTCTTTCGCTCTCAGAGCTCCATCGAGGGCTCCTCATCTCTCCTCCAGCACTGTGAGTGTCTCCAACAACACAGGACCGTGCTGTGTCCCAGCTCTGTCTCCCTTTCTACTCGAAACACACTCGCTACGCGGCAGGCCTGCTGGCTTCCTCACAGCCCTAGCTCTCTTTTGTTTTTACGATGCAGTGGAACAAGAAGATGCTCGGTGTAGTCGGCACTTTGCTTCGTTCATCATTTCGTAATTTTTTTTTTACTTTGCTTTATGTAACACCCCCACCTCTCGCTCACGTCCTCTCGCTCGCTCTCTCGTCCTGCACGCAGCCATTCTTGCCCTAAGCTCTCACTGGCACTTTGCTTCGTTCATCGTTGCGGTATTTTGTTTTTATCGCTTTGTTTTATGTGTTCCCCCCCCCCCTCCTTTTTTAAATACATATTTTACGTGTTTTCCCATTGTGCAGCAAAATCAACCTGTGCTACTTTTCTTCGTAGACACCAACATCAACACGAAGAATCACCCTCTGACCTCCTCCGTACTCTTTCCCTATCTCTATACCCCCTCTCTCTACCCCCTCTCTTCCCCCCCCCCCCTTCTCTCCCCCCCCTCTCTCCCCCTTCTCTCTCTCCCCACCCCCCGTCCACGGACTTTTCCGTTTCCCGGAAGAGAGAAAGAGAGAGCGACCCAAACAGAAGATTGCCATCAGCTCACGTTGGCAAAATGTCAAACCTGCAGTTGGGTTTCCCTCCTAACCTTACGGCAGGCGTGAGAGTCAGAGAGTGAGAGTGTGAGAGTGTGTGAGAGTATGTGAGAGAACATATGTGAGAGAGAGAGTGTGAGAGTGTGTGAGAGTGTGTGAGAGTGTGTGAGAGAACATATGTGAGAGAGAGAGTGTGAGAGTGTGTGAGAGAGTGTGTGTGTGTGAGAGTGTGTGAGAGAGTGTGTGTGTGTGGAGACGCTGCTGCTGAGACTGGAGCGTGCCACTAAGAGGTGGGGCCTTACCATCAACCCCACCAAAACTAAGCACCTGCCTCGGTATTTTGTACCATTGGACACTCCACCCCCACAACTCCGAATCGGTGATGGGGCAGTAGTGGAGAGAGTGGGGAGTTTCCCAAGCCTTGGCAGTGTGCTGATGACCGGCTCTAGTTTAACAGCAGAGGTCTCACTCTGAATCAATCGAGCGGCAATATCTTTTCATCGGTTGCGTAACGCTGTGTGGAAGCTACCTGGTCTGTCGCTCCGCACGAAGCTTCAGGTCTTCTGGGCCACAGTCATTCCCTCCCTTCTCTATGCTTGCGAAACGTGGACCCCCCTAATGGAGCATCTTTGCCGGTTGGAAATATTAAGGCTGGCCTGCCTACGATCCACCTGGGTTTAACCAGGCTGGATTGTGTGAGGAGCTCACAAATCCTTGAAAGATCTGGGCAAAGTCCCATCGGTGAGCTCTTCCGGCAGGCAAGGCGGCGTTGGCTGGGTCATGTAGCCCGCATGCCCAGCCACCGCATGCCTAAACAGCTTTTGTTCGGCCGGATCGAGGGGGCTAGAGAAGAGATGGAGTGAGTGGTACAGGAGGACGTGGAGCTGAGTGGACTTGCCGATGACCGGTACCAGCGGTGTCAAGATCTGCCTCTGTGGAGGAGGCTCGTGAAGGACGCTACTGGGCAGTTGGAGGCAGTCGCCCTCCAGCAACAATGGAGGGCGGAGGAGCGATGCTCACAACAACGAGCGGAGCGCCGGGTGGCTAAAGCACAGCAAGTAGACACAGTAGGGGGCACAGGTGGTGCATCAGCCAGTCATCTCGGTCATCTCAGTCAGTCGACCCGTGGCACCTGCTGGGTCTGCCCCGTGACCCCTTGCCAGTGGGCGTTCGACACTTCACGTGGCCTCAAGGTGCACATGGCCTGGCACAAGCGTCGTGGTGATGTCACCACCACTTAGTGGTGAATAGCGGTTGTTGTGTGTTGTGTGTCTGTGTGAGTGCCTAGGCGTAGTGTAGTGGTTAGCGCTACGCTGCGCTACAAACCTGGCAACCCAGGTTTGATCCCTGATCACGGCCACCAACAGTGACAATTATTTGAACTGGTCCTGGGCCTCCCCTAGGTCGACTCGGCCTCAAATGAGTACCTGGTGGAGTAAACATCGCCGCTGGGAAGACAAAGGCGGCCGGGCGTGGTGCTGGCCACCCACCCTTCTGTGTGTAGCCACAGCGCCGGTAGCCTTCATAGACGCTGCTGCTACTAGCTACTAACTAACAGCACTTGCCCCTACAGCTTGTCACAGGCTACACGGGGGACCTTTGTCTGTGTCTGTGTGGTGGTGATTGTGACGTCACTCCTCCCACGTGCAGGCGACATGAACCCTGTCACGTGGCTGCTGCTGCTCCTGGTGGCCGCAGGCTGCGTCAGCGGTGAGCTCCTCAACCTCAACACCCCCCACCCCCCCCCCACCACAAGCCACTCATTGGGTAGTGTATAGTGTAGTGTATAGTGTAGTGTATAGTGTAGTAGTGTATAGTGTAGTAGTGTGTAGTGTAGTAGTGTATAGTGTAGTGTAGTAGTGTGTAGTGTAGTGTATAGTATGGGGTTTCTATGTGAGTCTGAGTTTGTGTGTGATTCTATGGGTTTCTGTGTGAGTCTGTGGGTCTGTGTATGAGTCTGTGGGTTTCTGCATGAGTCTGTGGTCTTTGTGTGAACATGGCCGGAGTAACGGTTGTAGGTCAGGAGTATGAACCCGTTGGGGGTGGGCATCGCTGTGAGGGTGAGGTTTCTGTAACTGAGCCGGTCCCATTCAATGGCGTCCTCCTACGCATCACAACATTACTCCACAAGGACATGGAAACGGAGAGTGGGGTGACCCCGGGACTTCAGGTTGGATGGGAAACTTTTCGACATCAGGAGGCTCCAAGCAGCCGCAGAGATTTGAATCTGAGCGTCCACTTGAGCTCCAGTATGCGGATGACTTCGCTCTGGTGGCAAGCACCCTGAAGCTCCGCAAGCCACAACCCACCCCGGCTGCAGCTGTGAGAGTGTGCAGCTGAATGGAGGCCGTCTGTTAACATCCCAAAGCAACAGAGGCGCTAGGTCAGTGGTCATCCGAGCCTCCGCCTGGACCAGCCGCATTCCCCATCTCGGACTCCACGCTCGCCATCGTTCCCCTCGGAAGACCGCGACGTCCGCCGGGAACATCCAGCACCGGATCACGCAGGCCTCGCCCCCCTTTGGACGACTCGGGTTGGAGGGTTTTTCAGCAACGGTAACCTCCACCCCAAAGTTGCGGCATACCGAGCGGCGGGCTGTGTGCTTCCGCACTCCTCCATGGACGTGAAACGTGGACGGTTTGCAGCCGACACCTACGACAAACAGAGCCGCTTAGCATCCAAATGCCTCCAGTCGCGTTGTGAAAACGACACCCAGCAAGGACCGTGTTCCCGCACTTAAGAATCCTGCAGAGAGCTGGCCGCAGGAGCGTCGAGGGCGACCGTCGCACGCAGCCTCAACAGCTCAGGCGGCTCATTGCCACGGCCATCCGAATGCCGGCGGACCGCCTGCCCGCCAAAGATGGCGTACGTACGGACAGCCGGAGCTGGGCCGTCGCTCTGCAGAGTTGGGCCGAAGAAAAACGGCTCAAGGATTGGTTGAAGGCCTCGCTAAGGAAGCGTGGGGTAGACCCCCCCCCGTCTCCCTCGCGGCCGTTTGCTGTCTGACCGTTCCACCCCGGCGCGGCCTCTGCCATCGAGGAGCGCGGTCGGCTGAAGGGGAAAAAAATTGCCGAAACGCGGCCTGGCGAAGCGACAAAGGAAGCAGCGTGGACGTAGCTGCACCGGTCCCAGCGGGACCGGCCTCCATGTGCTCCGTCTGTGGCAGGACCGCACGGCCATCAGAGAACCCACAAGAAGTAATGGAAGTCTTCATCGGATGCGATGGACTAGCTTAAGCACGTGTGTGTGTACGTGTGGTGATGTCACCGCCACTTAGTGGCGAATGGCGGTTGTTGTACGTCAGTGTGAGTGTAGAGGTGGTGCTGACTACTCACCCACCCTGTGTGTGCCACAGTGCCAGTAGCCTTCATAAGCGCTGCTACTTGCTACTAACAGCCATTGCCCCCTACAGCCCTGCTAGAGGTGACACGGTGAATGGCGTCCATCTTTGTGTCTCTGTGTGTGTGCCCAGGTTGGGCGCGTGCCGTGATGCACAGACTGGAACCGTCCGAGCTCGTGAAGGCGCCGCTGGGAGGCAACGCCAACCCTGCGATGCTCCCTGCCGGTGGAGGTCGCCAGCCTGAGCCTCAGTCTGGTCCGCTGGAGGGAGCCGCTTACGAAAGAAACGGTACGGGAACCTTGTTGTTGTTTTTGCTAGGCATCCAAGTTATGGAAAAATGGCGTCGTCTCACCACGAGTGTCAGTAGAACAGTATACTTGTGTATGGCATTGTCTTTGATAATTACGTAACTATAATGTTCTTTGGCGTTGTCTTTGATAATTACGTAACTATAATGTTCTATGGCGTTGTCTTTGAAACTGATTGGCCTACACCAGAGACGGCAGCCTTCTTCAGGGCCCAGTCTCACTACCGGTGTCAGAGCAAAGAACGCCAAAAGGTGAACAGCACAAGGGTGATCCACCATCGGCGCATTTATAGCTCGGGGTGAGCAGCTACAAATTTGACTTTAATTCCAGTGTCAAAGTCATGGAAAAATAAGAATATGGTTTCACCCTTCTTGGCAACGCAACAGCAGGAGTTGTGTTCAAATGTTCTAACACCAAATAGAAACCTTTTGTTAGGAATCTCTGGTCTGGCACTGGTTTATAAATTGTAAATGTACCACATTTATAAATGTACTCACTGAATATATGCTACGTGTGTCTTACAGCGTGTGTGCGTGTGTGTTGGGGAGCGGTGGGGGAGTCGTTTAGCGCTACGCTGCCGCTACGAATCGGGTGACCCGAGGTCGATTCCCACTCAGGGCCACCGCCAGTGACGATTATTTGAACCCGTCCTGGGCCTCCCCTAGGTCGACTAAGCCTCAAATGAGTATCTGTGTGGTGTGTAGTACACATCACCACTGGGGAGACAAAGTCGGTCGTTTACCGTTCCGGCCTTCATAGGTGCTCGCTAACAGGCCTGTTAGAGACTACTCTGTCAGAGGATACTGGGGAATCATTGTGTATGTATGTGTGTGTCCGGCAAAAACAACCCCCTACCTCCCCGTGTGCCGGACGGGCAACGTTGTCGTGGACAGTGCCATGGGGTGGAGGGCCAATTCCTATTGGCCTCTCCCCTCAGAGCGTTGTGACCACCGTAGCGGCTAAATGGGGACTCTGGATGGGTGCGAGGGGCTGGTAACCCCTCCACCTTCAATAAATTACCACTAAACCAGGTGAAAAATATCTAATTAATAAGCTTGTGCCGGAGGCTCCGGGGGGATAGGTGTATATGACGTCTCCTGGCCAAACCCCATTTGGCGGAGCCAGGAGACTGAATCTTTACCCTTGGGGCTCCACCAGAAACAAGAAAAAGCCACTACGTGTGGCCACGTGGAATGTTCGAATGCTCACTGCGGAGGAGAGGCTGCCACTCCTCTGTCGGGAGCTGGACTGGTACTGCCTGGATCTCTGTGGCATTGAGGAGGGTCCGGTGGACTGGCTCTGGTTCCTGCCACCATGAGGGGTGGACAGTCCTCTACTCGGGGCAGGAGACTGTCAAGTAAAAGGGTGTGGCTCTTCTTCTGAACAAAAGAATGAAGGGGACGTGGGAGCGTGGCGGTGAGGTGTGGGAAGCTGTAAGCCCCAGGCTACTTTGGGTTCGCCTTCCCATCAACCGGAGGCAAGGAGTGGTAGCCGTGGTTACTTATGCCCCCACCGAAGAAGAACATCCGTGGAGGGATGCAGGCAAAGCCAAATAAGTCAGATGCCTTCTATGACCTCCTGTCACAGGTGCTGGCTAAAGTGGCCCCTCGGAATAGTCATCTTGTTGGGTGACTTCAATGCCCGAGTTGGTCATGATGCTGGCACCTGGTCTGGAGTGATTGGTAGGCATGGGCCAGATCAGCTCAATAACAACGGTAGGAGGCTACTAGATTTTTGTGCAGCCCATGGGCTTGTAATTATCAACACGCTGTTCTGGCATCGGCGCATCCATACAACATCATGGATGCATGCCGGGTCCAAGCAAGAACATCTGCTGCACTACATAGTGACGGACCAGCGGATGCGAGCCCATGTCCTTGACACCAGGACCTACCGTGGAGCTGATCTGCCCTCTGACCATCGACTAGTCATCTGTAAGATGCGCCTGCCATTCTTCCACTCCGGTGGTGGGTGTACACCAAGGACCACATTCCAACCTAAGGTGGCCTGGTCTCAGATAGCTGATGGAAGTTGCAAGCGAGAATTTCATCAACGCTTGCAGCTGGGGTTGGCATCGTCCCCCACTCCTCCTGATGTCGAGGGTAAATGGGCGAGGTTTAGGACTGTGACTCATGCAGCTGCAATGGCTGCTTTGGGTACGCGGTCCAGACCTCCCCAGAGACCCTGGCTGACAGAGGAGGTGTTCAGGATGGTTGAGAAAAGCGACAGTCCCACTATCATTGTCTACAGCATCCCACGTCAGAGAATGAGGAGGTTTACCGCAGCCTTTGCTCGGAGGTTCGGAGAGCCGTGAGGCGCTGCAAGGATGGGTGGTGGTCGCGGGTTGCTGAGGAGATGGAGTCTGCCTCAATGGCCCGCAATCACAAATCACTATTTAATTCCATAAAAAAGTAACCTGCAGCGCCACACCTATTACCATCATTAGGGGAAAGAACGGTGATCCAATCTCCGACCCCCAGGAACAGGTTTGCAGATTTGCTGAGCATTTCTGTGAGGTCCTGGGGGAGGGGAAATCCCTCAGCCTGGAAAACATCATGGAACAAAGTGGGGATGACCCTGCTGAGGCTGCGGTGCCTCAAATATTGGAAGAAGTCACCCCCTGTAGTGGCTGGCTGAGGTGCCATCTATTGAGGAAGGTCTAAAGGCGATCCAGAGTCCGAGACCAGGAAAGCACCGGGCAGAGATGATCTCCCAAGCGAAATGCTGAAAGAGGGTGGCGTTTGTGCACAGACTGCCCTATATGACATCATAACAACAGTCTGGTCCACTGGACGGGTTCCGCAGATTGGAAGGATGCTCTGGTGGCCTCCTCTTTAAGAAGTGGCACCGCACAGACTGTAACAACTACAGGGGCATCTCACTCCTCAGTGTGCCGGGAAAGGTCCTGGCAAGGATTATTCAACATCGCCTTGCTAGGCACGCTGAGGAGAGGCTTGCGGAGCCCCAATGCGGTTTCAGGAAAGGGCGGTCCTGCACAGATGCCATATTTTCTGTCCGTCTGCTACAGCAGAGGTGTAGGGAATTCCAACAAGACCTACATCTCTGCTTTATTGACCTGGTCAAGGCCTATGATGCCATCAGTAGGCCTGGGCTCTGGGTTGATCTTCGTGCTTTCGGAGTGCATGATCCGCTGCTCATGATCATTAAGGACCTTTATGATGGTGAGCGGGCCCGGGTAAAACTACGTGGCCGGGAGTCGGAGCCATTCCCTGTTCACTTTGAGATGCGACAGGGATGTTCTCTGGCTCCAACATTTTTTTACATTCATTTCGACCATGTAGTTCATGAAGCCTTCAATAGCTGTACTGGAGGAATTTCACTTGGTACAGATATAATGGGAGGCTGATCAATGCCTGGGTGCGATCAAGGGATGGCTCCCTATTGGTCAACCATGTTACGTATGCTGCTGCTCATTCAGAGGAGGAGTTGGAGACGCTTCTGTTGAAACTGGAGCATGCCACTAAGAGGTGGGGCCTTACCATCAGCCCCACCAAAACTAAGCACCTGCCTGGGTATTTTGTATCATCGGACACTCCACCCCCACAACTCCCAATAGTTTATGGGGTGGTTGTGGAGAGAGTGGAGAGTTTCCCATACCTGGACAGTGTGCTCATGACCGGCTTCGGTTTGGCAGTGGAGGTCTCACTCCGAATCAGTCGAGCGGCAATATCTTTTTATCGGTTGCATAACACTGTGTGGAAGCTGCCTGGTCTGTCGCTCCGCACGAAGCATCAGGTCTTCTCAGCCACGGTCATTCTCTCCCTTCTCTACACTAGCGAAACGTGGACCCCCTAATGGAGCATCTTCGCTGGTTAGAAACATTTAGGCTGGCTGCCTACGATCCATCCTGGATTTCACCAAGCTGGATTGTGTGAGGAGCTCACAAATCCTTGAAAGATTTGGGCAAAGTCCCATCGGTGAGCTCCTCTGGCAGGCAAGGCTGCGTTGGCTGGGTCATGTAGCCCACATGCCCAGTCACCGCATGCCTAAACAGCTTTTGTTCGGCCGGATCGAGGGGGCCTAAACGGGCCCTGCACGGGCTAGAGAGGAGATGGAGTGATGTGGTACAGGAGGCACGGGCTAGAGAAGAGATGGAGTGATGTGGTACAGGAGGACGTGGAGCTGAGTGGACTTGCCGATGACTGGTACCAGCGGTGTCAAGATCGGCCTCTGTGGAGGAGGCTCGTGAAGGACGCTACTGGGCAGTTGGAGGCAGTCGCCTCCAACAATAATGGAGGGCGGAGGAGCGACGCTCACAACAACGAGTGGAGCGCCGGGTGGCTAAAGCACAACAAGTTGGCACAGTAGGGGGCACAGGTGGTGCATCAGCCAGTCATCTCGGTCATCTCGGTCAGTCGACCCGTGGCACCTGCTGGGTTTGCCCCCGTGACCTCCTGCCAGCGGGCGTTCGACACTTCACGTGGCCTCAAGGTGCACATGGCCTGGCACAAGCGTGGTGGTGATGTCACCGCCACTTAGTGGCGAATGGCGGTTGTTGTTGTGGTTGTTGTGTGTCTGTGTCTGTGTGTGTCTGTGTGCGGTGCTAGCTACTGCTTCTTTCGACTTACCCAGTTACGGCCACACGGGGGGGGGGGTGATCTTTGCCGCTGTGCGCACCCCACAGGTCTACATTTACACGGCGAGTATGAACCAAACTCGGACAAGTACGACTACATCGTGCCCAGGGTCGATATTGGTCGCGGCGAGAGCTCGCTTGCTGTTGCTGGGAGTGGCGCACTCCATGGCCGGTGTCTACCAGTGCCAACTCGAAACCGTGGGAATTGGCTCCTACCTGCAGGACGTGTTGCTGGAGGTGTTCGGTGGTGAGTGGGGGGGTGATGTAGGGTGTAGCGAGT